AGAACTCCATGCCTCACAACCGCGGGGCAACTTCATGATTACAGAGACCTAGTTAAACCCTGAGATAACCGATTCGGAGATCAATTTACCCGATACGTCGCTGCTTCGGGACGATAAAACCGGAAGGAGTGGCGGTGTGGTCATTTACTACAATACAAGCCTCCGACGTGAAGATATCGATCACCCGGAAATCCGAGCTCCCGCCACCCATGGTTGCGAAACAAGGATACATGTCTACTAGCCGTGATTTATCGCTCACCAAACTCAACGTCGGAAATGGACTCCAAACTGAACCACGTTTTTCAGTTTGCTTTGAACAAGTCCTACACCCACATTCTTATCGCGGGAGACTTTAACGTGCCCGACATAGGAACGCCAGAAACCGACGGTATGCAGTTCAAAGCCTGCTTGCAAGAGCTTGTTGCTAGCCTCCCTCTTTACAACCACGAAACCTCTCCCACCAGAGTTCGAACTGCTAGCAATTTGTCGATACCGGATCTTGCGCTAACTAACGAAGCACTCATGGTTGACGGGATAGTTACAAGCACACCATTGGGTCGTAGTGATCATGTTACTCTACTCTTTGATTATATATGCTATGCGGAGTGCCCTGAAAAAGGAGGAGGATAAGGTGCATACTGTCACGCACTAAAATGTGCTGTCTAAGCATGTTAAAGATACATCATGGACTTTCTTAACCGAATGCCCCCAGATGTTGCCTGGGAAACATTTACAAGGACGTTTAGCACACTGGTAGCGCACGCATCGAAACCGAAGTCCTTTCAACGCAAAACAAGCGTAAGTCATTCCTGAGGAGTAGAACACGTAAATGTCTGTCCCAGAGGAATTTGGCATGGCGAAATCACCAGGACTGCCCGAATGCCGAAACCTGGACTGCGTACGTGACACATGGTAAATTCTGTGTGAAACTGGTCCGCGAAGACAAGGTCACTCATCAGCAGAAGTTAATGAATCGCTTCTGAACTAACCCCAAACTCCTGTACAGGCACGTTAACGGCCTTCGAAAGGGGAAGCGGGGGATTCCAGCGCTCGTCACGGCTGATGGGTACACGCGATCAGCAATGGAAACTGCTGATCTCCTACGGCTTCATTACTCCCAAACTTTCCAGCATGTAACGAGCCCGAACATTCTCCTCATTTATAATACTCCACCATCTGGTTTAGAAAACATCACCTTCACTGTGGAAGCTGTGTTGAAGAAGTTGTTATCCTTGCGTATCCACAGTTCTCCCGTAGCTGATAACATCCGACCCAAGGCTCTACAGGCGGTAGCTAGTGGTCTAGCAGAACCACTGACTGTTTTTATCAGTGATGTCTAGAAGAGAACCGTATTCCACCAGTATGGAAGCGAGGGATCATCACTCCTATCCACAATGGAGGTAGCCGCACTGATCCTCCCAACTACCGTCCAATAACGCTACTTCTCGTACTATCCAAAGTGATGGAATCAATCATCGCATACACGCCGATGCAATACCTGGAAAGCCGCAATTTAATAGCCCCAGAGCAACTTGGCTTTCGTCGAAAGCATTCGTGTAATAATAACCTATTAATTGTAAGTAATAGCTGGACTGAAGCTGTTGATGATGGAGTAGGAGTCGATGTCATCTACTTGGAATTTTCAAAAACGTTTCATCGCTTAGACCATCACATTCTCCTTCAGAAGCTTCGGAAGTACAGCATTGGCGATCCAAACCTGAGTTGGATTGGCAATTTTCTACAACAACGACGGTTAGTCGGAAGAGTCCGAGAATCATTTTCTCATGCAATCGATGTGGCGTGTGGAGTACCAATAGGCTCGATTCTTCGACGTCGTCTATTTTTGGTGTTCATTAACGATTTGGCGAGATCAATTACTTCCGATTTCCTATTTTCCACTGATGATTTCAAGAGATGGCGAAGGAGCACAGGACCGGACGACCACTAATGGCTCCAGTGCGATCTTAACAGTTTCGAACCGGTCAGTTCAAAACGCCCTTCCGTTCAACGTAGACAAATGTCGCGTTGTACCATTACGCCATATACATAACTGCATCTATATACTTAGGACAAACGGATTGCAGAATAGCTCCCAGGAACGTGACCTTGGTGTGATCGTGCAGAGCCATCTCAACTGTTCAAAACAGGCTGAGGTATCTGCGAAAAGAGGCAACCAGCACGTCGGCATGCTGCGAAGAGCATTCGGGAGATTTGATCCATCCATCTTCCTAATGATGCACAATTCCTACGTACGCCCGCATGTTGATTACGATATCCAAGCTTGGCAACGTTGGTTGAAGCGCGACCTGGAAGCGATAGAAGCAGCACAACGAAGAGCAACAAAGAATGTTGAGTGCCTGCGCTATCACTCTTAGCACAGAAGGCTGAAGTTGCTGGGAATTTTCAACGGACGCTATGGAAGGCTGCACGGCGATCTCATATTAGCACATCAGATACTGGGTGACTCCAACCACGGATGCTGCCATTTGCTAACAATAAGCCACAACACACAGCTGAGCGGTAACTGCTTAAATTTGGAGGAACAATATAGCCGTCTAGAGTGTCGACGGAATTACTTTTCCCTTCGGGTTTGCCAACCCTGGAAAGCACCCCCAGACTCAGTTGTATCCTCTCCGACCTTGGATGTTGTCAAAAAACGATTAGATGTTGCTCTTACCTCCCAGCATTTTGTTACCTAAACTCCTCTTTTGTGGATTACGGCAAGCATGCCTTCCAACAGGATTTACGTATCACATGGTCCTAGGTGAGAGACCATATTTTACTTTTCTCACTCCTTACCTCAAAGATCACTGCAACCCAGTGTCTTTATGAACGTTTAAGCTCGATAATTCGTATTAATTTTACTTTGATGTTAAGTATCACAGTATTCATCTCGACAGACGTTCGATAGATGACCCAGACGTATTGTGATTTCATCATATTCACCGCAACCATCCTACGGGACGTGTCAAGCACTTGCTTTTATCCCGTGATAAATTATTGTTAATTGTTCAACGTTGTACTGCACATTGCAGTGTCTGGACAGCATCTACGAAACTATCCTCCGCATCGGTTCATCGTTGCGCACAAACTTGGCCTATCTGGATCGCGTACAACTGTTCGTAGCCTCGTGAGAGCGACGCATAAGCATTTGTGGATGCCTTTATTTAATTCCCCCGGATCTGCGCACCTAAAGCTGCAAGTTAGAATAGATTAGTAGCTACTGGTGATAAGCGTTTGAACAATTGTACTGCAATGTTCGCGAAGCTGCGGCAGGAATCTCCAACTTACTTTAGCAATTTCCCTCGAATCTAAAGTCATTTGCATAGGTCGATAACCGAACTCCATTGCCTGAAACAAACTTTCATTAGTGTCTGTTAACTGCGGTAAACAAGGATAATCGCAGTCAAGTTTGCAGCGATATTGCTATGAATCGGCATTAATCAAGTCGTGGCCGTTATCCTCTACCCTATAGTTGAAAAAGAAGAATCGTTTGCTTTGCTCTAATTCAAAATATAATATTACTAAATTTCATATGGCATGGCAGTATCTTCATTCACAACATAGTATTCACTGCGTTTACCTGTATGTTGTTGTACCGTGCAGGTAGACGTAGCATTCAATGTACGAGTTAAATGAGTAGAACCGTGAGTTCAACGTAGGGTAGCTTGCGGGGAAAAAACAACATTACAAAAGCTTTCGCACGTTTGTCAAACTGATTGACCCACACAGGCACAAGCACATATAAGGGCGTCAGCTACCTTCTACTGCTTTGCCTAGCTCAAATATAACTTGCATATGCGAACAATCAGAAATCATCTTGTCTCCATCGGCAAGACACCATCATTTCCAAAGATTAATGCTTCTGCACAAGCAGATCGTAGTCGAATATTTTTACGTGTGTATGCTCACATAATTGCTTTTTCTTTTATTTACATTTTCAGTGAGCAGAGCTGGTAAGTAGCTTTATCCATGGATTTCGGATTGACGCACGGTATGGGGTAGAGTGCTTATAGAATGTGTAATTTTATCACCTTTTTCTGACATGCACAGCTTTATAAATGCAAACGATATTTACATCTCAAGCCAATAGACTGGCAGATTGGTTGAATTCGGATAAGAAGACAATAAACACGTTAGTTCTCTTCCTTCCATTATGCGCGTCTTGCGTGTCTAAAACAAGTACAAAATCTACCTCTTTTTACCATAGACCCAACAGAACCGGTTCCGCCTTTTCGTGAGTTCATTTATTCTCTAAAGTTTGCATTAACTTGCAACTTCAATTTTCCGATTAAATGTTTTGGTCTATTAAACTCCACTGAACTCATAGCATACTAACCTCATGCATTATTACCTGAATACATGTGGAAGCCGACATTAGTTGATGGTGTATGATTTTAAGTTGGTCTTTCATTACGAATTAAAATCGATCCACATAATTTGACCAATTATCTTGAAACTATTAATGCTAATGCGGCGCACACGTTCTTCCAGGCTATCATCATTATAAATGTGTTCATGTACTGATACGCAAAGCTTCGTAGAACAACTTTATTTCTATGTGTGTGCTAGTCATATTCTGCCTCGATTGGTAGGCATAGGTAGACTTAATCAATTAGCATCCTATTTTATTATTATTAACCTCTTAATCTGCTGGTCGAAATAATGACTTGCGCCTCTCGATGCACCGGCTTTCAATGTTTATGATTATGATAGCGAATGAGTTGTCTATGTTCGTATGACCTTGCATAAAGTATATTTCCCGACTAACTTATTTAGCATTTGTTTTATTTTCGATGGAAGGTATTGTAAATTAACTTGGGTTTCATGCCTTGTTTGCCAAGAACACCTCCAATTGGCAGAGGGGCTAAATAGACTCCGAGATGTAATGAGTCTGACAGAGATTTCATTCAGCCGCGTTGTGAAGCCTATTGTGTTGCCAGACGGGCAAATATTTACTGTTTGTAGGAAATACTGCACTGCAAGTAATTCCCTCCATAATGGTTGCGAGCGCACAACTGGACAAAAGCATAGGTGGGATGTATGGAGGGGTTTCGTGTCCAGCGGGACAGACAGCGTCTTTAAATCTTTATTCACCATTTATGTTATCATTTGCGATACTTTCTAACCATGTGATTTTCTATTACTCTGCAGCGGAAAATAAAATATTGAGTGAGTTCCGTACTCGCTGATGGTCTTACAGAAGTCCAAAGAGCTGATCGTAAATTGATCTAAAATAGGTACTGCGCGCTCCCGTAGTTGTCGTTTATGCTTCGTTTCGATTTGGAATTTACAAATTTTTATTGTCAGCTATGCCGTTGTAGCTATACGTCTCATGGCTATTGTTTAATCACTTGGGCAGAAAGGTCATTTTGGTCCGAGTGTCACCGCTTGTCATGTGCGTTTTACCGAGTTTATACTGTTAAAACACCAGCGTTCTTGAACGTGGGATCTAATATTTCCAAAGAACAAACATGTATCAGTTAGTGCTTTACACACAGCCACAAACGCGTACATATTAACTTGAATAGAGCGACATCCGCGGTGTATTGATCCTTCAATACATCAATTTCAGTACAATGTGGGGAAGATATAAAAGCAGAAAATGGAAAGTTGTCGTATAAAGGAAAAGAAGGACGTAACTATCTATGCATCTGGAGGATTTCGGTCGAATATGGCAAAGCGATTGCTTTCAATCTAACGAAGTTATCCGTACGTTCTTAGTAACTTATTGACAATTACACATATAGCGTCCCTACTCCACAACCAGTGTACTGCAGTGTAGCATGCATTATCCTACAAATTCTTACATCAGAAAACAATTTTTCCACCAGGGCGAACTGCATAGGTTTGCGGCTGTTGTAAAGTAAAGCTCCTGGCACATCAATAACCTACCAACATCTAATGTAATGATTTAGTGTTGACCTGTTAACCGTAGTTGAAATCGTGTTTCCGTATTCAGTCTGCGACAGATTCTCAGGGGAGATATGTTGCATTTTTCCAGATAAGCTACCCAGAGAACTGGCTACGTCTTTTGGATGGAAGCGATTGTGGTGCACCGGTCGTCCATTTCGTAAACGGAGATTCAGAAAACCGTCTCGTATCACTGACTTCTACATCAAATACAATGATGGTAATATATGCTGCAATAAATGGGGACGAAACAGACACTATTGAGGCAGATTATAACATGGGTAAGTTCTGAGAAAGATCTTACGGGTACCAGATATAGATGCAGGAGATAGGTTTCGTGAAATTATACAGAATCAGTTGATATACAAAACCGCATTTGCGAATAAGGAGATGACCAATTCATCCATCTAAAAGTTATGATATTTACGAGAGATAAGAATAGACTACATGATATTATTGATAATTGATAAACATAGACAAATGCCAAAATTTTATGCTGATTTTCAAGTGAACTGAAAGTAATTGAACGGGAAAAATCATAAATAATTTCAGGGTGAGGAATAGATTTGTGCGGTTCTAGCATGCATTAAGCACAACAAGTGGAGGGTTGTAAGTGAGCTAAGCTATTACACTCCAAATAAAAGTAATTCACGGTTGAGGAAACAAAGCGTGAAACTACTTTGACCGCTTGTAATATTCGTTTATTATCTATACCTTTAGCAACGCGAACCTACTTTATGTGTTTATTCGTGTCTTTCTAGTGTCTGCGCCCCCAGGCACTACATCGACAGGTGAGTTCTGTTTTAAATGACTCACTACATGAAAAGCTTCTACAGTTTTATAACAGAACTAACTCTTGGCTTCCTATGCCAGAAAAACGTTTGCTAAGTTACTTGAAGCTTTGTGAACGGTGGCCCAAAACACGTGGTAGAAATCAGTATGTAAATGCTCTTAACTTATCCCAAATAGATTTCCCACATTAGTACACAGATGATGGTTTTCCATATTAACCGTAGATGACGCTGCTGGTTCTATTAAGCTGATTTCCATCCAAACGTCCACTTTAGGTTGGGCAGTCAATTTTGACCACTGTAATCGTGAAGAGATTTCTATCAACCCTATTGATGTTATCTTAGAAATGAACGGGGTACCTTCAGTCCTATTACCAAGTTACAAATAACAATTCTTGATGAATTTATGCAAGCTCGTTCGTTCATTTCCCAGTTACCGTGTCTTATCTTGCTAATAGCTGAGTTAATTTAAATAGTCAAACAGTACGTCATAGATTTAATATAACCAATAATATCTGATACGAGCAAAGCATAAGTAGCCGAGGAGATTTAAGTGGGCAAGTTTTGTTCTCAAGTGGCGTCACACACCGATGGTTATTTGTCCCCTGACAGCCATTGATTGGGTATTGTTGCATATGTTGCAAATGAGCGGTAGATGTACGATTTGAATTGAATTTCAGTTGCTCTTTAACTTATTAGTAGAAATGCACCACAATCCAGTGTCCCCAAACATAGTCCGGCACCAGTCGGTTTCTGGGTTCGAGTTGCACCGGGTTCAGTATGGGCGTGAAATGCTGACAATTCCTGAAAGGATTAAATGCCCGTATAGTGTGATGGCTGGCTTACTGCGACCGGTTGTGCTGAATTTCTAAATATACCGTGCAAACTCCCTGCTACTCATTAGCTTCTTAGTTTGAGTGCATTTATACCATTTCTGTACTTGGTAACGTATGAGCCACTTGAATACACGATTTTATCACGCGCCTACAGGGAGTCGGGATATCAGCTTAGTACTTGAATATTTAAGCAAAAGCGCCCATTGATCTAGATCATCTCACCTAACAATGGTAATGAACAGGAGAATGAAAAGACAGATACCAATAAATTAAACCACAAAACCCAATGGGCAGACAGCCCGTTTAATACGACAAAGTAACCGACAGTTTTTCGGGAACCAACCACACTTTTCAACAACAATTACATCGGTTTGGTGAAACCACCGAAGCATCTCTAATCTCGGTACACCTAATGCATCTACAGAGTAATAAAGCGCCTCTTCTAACGTTCAAAATTCAAATACGGGTAATTCGCGTAAACTTCTAGGTATCAATAGGTTTTGAGGACCTCACGAACATTCTAAGAAAATGTTTGTAAGCTGACTTTCGTTGGATTAAAAATCAAGTATTCCTTCAACAATCAAGGCATGCTACTTTTTCACTTAATGATTTTAAAGTGCTTGAATTCCTTCTACCCGTTTATTTGCAGCTGGTTCAATTCGATATCCATGGCGGCCACAAATCTGTTGCTCATTATAGCGGCACGGAGTTATGCATTAAGCTGAAAACGTTAGGGTTGGAAGCTTTTTATCTCTCCCTGTTACAACTTCATGGGGCCTGGCATTCAGCTGCGAACGTTTTCATTACTTTTATGTAGTGCATGGAATTGTATTTCAAACAAAATTGTGTCCTGTCATCAAATTGCAATCGCTGCTTGTGTCTATCTAGTTCCGTTAATTTTACATAACATAATACAAGCGTATTAACAGCTATTCCGAATTATGTGCCCAGCACAGCATGTGTATGTGACATTTATTAAAGAATGTGAGTTGAGCCTCAGTGAACTAAACTGATCGAAGTTATGCTTTAAATATTACATGCTTATTCATCATTCGAGATTTTACGGCAGTCGTGCGGTATAATATCATATGTCATTTCAAGGTGAAGAATAGTTTTTTGTGGTTCTGCCACACATTGAAGCACTACAAGTGGACGGTTGTAAATGAGCTAAGCTATTACACTCCAAATAAACAGCAATCCACCGTGGTTGAAACCGAGGAAGACATTATCTTGACTGCGTGTATTATTCGTTGATTATCCATGCCCTTTATTATCGCGAAGCTACTTTATGTGTTTACTCGTGTCTTTCTAGTGTCTGCGCCATCTGGCACTACATCGGAAGGTGAGTTCCGTTTTAAATGACTCACAACAGGAAAATCTCAAACATTTTTATAACAGAACTAACGCTTGGCTTCCTATGCCAGAAAGAAGGTTGCTAAGTTACTTGAAGCATTGCGAACGGTAGCCCAGAACATGTGGTTGAAATCAGTATATGAATGCCTTTAACTTATCCCAACTAGTTTTCCCTCCTTAGTATACAGTATATGGTTTTCCATATTAATTGCACTGTCTCACGGTAGATGGCGCTGCTGCTTCCATTAAGCTGATTTCCATCCAAACGTCCACTTTAGGTTGGGCAGTCACTTTTGTCCACTGTAATCTTGAAGGGATTTCTATCAACCACATTGATGCTATCTCACAATTGAGCGGGGTTACTTCAGTTCTATTACCAAGTTACAAATAACAATTCTTGATGGATTTATGCAAGCTCGTTCGTTCATTTCCCAGTTACTGAGTCTTATCGGGCTAATAACTGAGTTAATTTAAATAGTTAGACAGTAGGTCATACAGTTAATATAACCAATACTATCTGATACGAGCAAAGCATTATTAACCGAAGAGATATAAGTGGGCAAGTTTTGTTCGCAAGTCGAGTCACACACCGATGGTTATTTGTCCCCTGACAGCCATTGATTGGGTATTGTTGCATATGTTGCAAATGAGCAGTAGATGTACGATTTTAGTTGCATTTCAGGTGCTCTTCAACTTATTAGTAGAAAAGCATCACAATCCAGTGGCCCCAAACATAGTCCGGCAGCAGTCGAGTTCTGGGTTCGAGTTGCACAGGGTTCAGTTTGGGTGTGAAATGCTGACTATTCCCGAAAGGATGAAATGGCCGTAGAGTGTGATGGCTGGCTTACTGCAACCGGTTGTGCTAAATTGCTAAATATAGCGTGCAAACTCCCTGCTACTCATTAGCTTCTTAGTTTGAGTGCATTTATACCATTTCTGTACTTAGTAATGTATGAGCCACTTGAATACACGATTTTATCACGCGCGCACAGGCAGTCGGGATATCAGATTAGTATTTAAATATTTGAGTAAACGCGCATATTGTTCTAGATAATCTCATCTAACAACCGTAATGAACAGGAGAATGAAAAGACAGATACCAATAAATTAAACCACAAAACCCAAAGGTCAGACAGCTAAACAAATCGCCCGTTTAATACGACAAAGTAACCGACAGATTTTCGGGAATCCACCACACCTTTCAACAACAATTACATCGGTTTGGTGAAACCACCGAAGCATCTCTAATCTCTGAGCACCTAATACAGCAACAGATTAATGAAGCGCGTTTACTAACTTTCGAAATTCAAATACGGGTAATTCGCGTGAACTTCTAGGTCAATAGGTATTGAGGACCTCACGACTATTCTAATAAAAAATTTGTAAGCTGATTTGAGTTGTTTTAAAAACCCTGTATTCCTTCAACAATCAAGGCATGTTACTTTTTCACCTAATTATTTTAAATTGCTTGAATTCCTTCTGCCCTATTGTTTGCAGCTGGATCAAAATTGATACCCATGGCGGCCACAAATCTGTTGCTCATTATAGCGGCACGGAGTTATGCTTTAAGCTGAAAACTTGAGGATTGGAAGATTTTTATCTCTCCCTGTTACGACTCCACGGGGCCTGGCATTCATCTGCAAACATTTTCATTTCTTTTATGTAGTGCATAGAATCGTGTTTCAAACAAAAATGTGTCCTGTCATCAAATTGCAATTGCTGCTTGTATCTATCTGGTTCTGTTAATTTTATATAACATATTACAAGCGTATTAACAGCTATTCCGAATTATGTGCCCGGCACAGCATGTGTATGTGACATTTATTGAAGAATGTGAGGTGAGCTTCAGTGAACTAAACGGATCGAAGCTATGCTCTAAATATTGCATGCCTATTTATCATTCGAGATCGTACGGTAATCGTACGGTATAATGTCATAAATCATTTCACGGTGAAGAATAGATTTGTGTGGTTCTACCACACATTGAAGCACTACAAGTGGAGGGTTGTAAACGAGCTAAGCTATTACACTCCAAATAAACAGCAATCCACCGTGGTAGAAACCGAGGAAGACACTATCTTGACTGCGTGTATTATTCGTTGATTATCCATGCCCTTTAGTAACGCGAAGCTACTTTATGTGTTTACTCGTGTCTTTCTAGTGTCTGCGCCCACTGGCACTACATCGGAAGGTGAGTTCTGTTTTAAATGATTCACTACAGGAAACGCCTAAACAGTTTTATGACAGAACTAACGCTTGCCTTCCTATGCCAGAAAGAAGGTTGCTAAGTTACTCGAAGCATTGTGAACGGTAGCCCAGAACATGTGGTTGAAATCAGTATGTGAATGCCCTTAACTTATCCCAACTAGTTTTCCCTCCTTAGTATACAGTTTATGGTTTTCCATACTAACCGCAAACTACCCCATGGTAGATGACGCTGCTGGTTCTATTAAGCTGATTTCCACCCAAACGTCCACTTTAGGTTGGGCAGTCACTTTGTCCACTGTAATCTTGAAGAGATTTCTATCAACCATATTGATGCTATCTCACAATTGAGCGGGGTTCCTTCAGTTCTATTACCAAGTTACAAATAACAATTCTTGATGAATTTATGCAAGCTCGTTCGTTCATTTCCCAGTTACCGTGTCTTATCGTGCTAATAGCTGAGTTACTTTAAATAGTTAAACAGTAGGTCATAGAGTTAATATAACCAATGCTATCTGATACGAGCAAAGCATAATTAGCCGAGGAGATTTAAGTGGGTATGTTTTGTTCTCAAGTGGCGTCACACAACGATGGTTATTTGTCCCCTGACAGCCATTGATTAGTTATTGTTGCATATGTTGCAAATGAGCAGTAGATGTACGATTTGGATTAAATTTCAGGTGCTATTTAACTTATTATTAGAAATGCCTAAAAATCCATTGGCCTCAACCATAGTTCGGCACCAGTCGAGTTCTGGGTTCGAGTTGCACCGGGTATAGTTGGGGAGTGAAATGCTGACTATTCCCGAAAGGATTAAATAAAAGTACAGTGTGATGGCTGGCTTACTGCGACCGGTTGTGCTGAATTGCTAGCTAAACCGTTTAACCCAATGCTACTCATTAGCTTCTTAATTTGAGTGCATTTATACCGTTTCTGCATTTGGTAACCTATGAGCCAATTTAATACGCGATTGCATCATGCGCCCACAGGGTGTCGGGATATCCGAATACTATTTCAATACTTAAGCAAACGCGCCCATTGATCTAGATCATCTCATCGAACCACGGTAATGAACAAAAGAATCAAAAGACAGACACCAATAAATTAGACCACAAAGCCCAATGGTCAGACAGCTAAACGAATCTCCCGTTTACTACGACAAAGTAACCGACAGCTTTTCGGGAATCAACCACACTTTGCAACAACACTTACATCGGATTAGTGAAGCCGCCGAAGCATCTCTAACCTCAGAACATCTAATACATCAACAGAGTAATCAAGCGCCTTTACTAACGTTCGAAATGCAAATACCGGTAGTTCGCGTAAACTTCTAGGTATCAATAGGTTTTGAGGACCTCATGACAATTCTGCGAAAAAGTTCGTAACCTGACTGGTGTCGATTTAACTACCCAGTATTCCTTCAACAATCAAGGCATGTTACTTTCTCATTTAATGGATTTAAATTGCTTGAATTCCTTCTACCCATTTATTTGTAGCTGGTTCAAAATTGAGATTTATGGCGGCCACAAATCTGTTGCTCATTACAGCGACACGGAGTTATGCTTTAAGCTGAAAACTTTAGGATTGAAAGCATTTTATCTCTCCCTGTTACAACTCCACGGGGCGTGGTATTCAGCTGCGAACATTTTCATTTATTTTATGTAGTGCATAGAACTGCGTTTCAAACAAAATTTTGTCCTCTCATCAAGTTGCAATTGCTTCTTGTATCTATCTTGTTCCGTTAATTTTATATAACAAATTACAAACGTATTAACAGCTATTCCGAATTATGTGCCTAGCACAGCATGTGTGTGTGACATCTATTGAAGAATGTAAGGTGAGCTTCAGTGAACTTAACTGATCGAATCCTTTCTCTAAATATTGCGTGACTATTTATTATTCGATACTTTGTTTTCTTGCAATACGCTTGCAAAGCTTCAGTGGAGGCGATCGCAAATATCTGAATTTTACAAAATATTTACTCATAATTTTAAATTTTAATTAATGCTGCTATTACGTTTGATATACTGATTTTTGCGGCACTTAAATTTATTGGTGAGCTTCCACTGTCTATTATGCATATTATTTATTGCACTTTTTTTATCCTTCATCATCAATTTGCATTGGACGAAAATGTATTTAATTTGTTGTATTGCATATCTACTTTTTTTATTTCGGCTGGGTTTGACTGAATGAATTCATTAAAATAAATCTCTATTATTAACTTTGCCTATCCCAAGTGGATTGTCCTGAATGTGGCGATGGCATACGCAGATACTGATTACAAGTTGACAGACCATATATATAGAGCTTATTGGAATCTAAATGTTATATGTATATATTTAAAGGATGTTTGTGCAGTTTTTTTAAGGGCGCTTATTGCCAACTACAAACCTGATCAAGTGACCCAAGCGTAGAAGTCTGAGAACAGCAAGTAAATTGCTACGACGTATGCAGGTAGTATAAATGTGCAGCCTGGTGATGCAGATGGAACTAGTTACCGCTGAGGATATAACATTATTATAAACCGATATAAGTTGAACATGGAGAACATTAGATAGGTGTAGCCTAAACAATATAGAAGAAAGTAAAAAGAAATAAAGAAGTAGGCAAGATTGATAAAAGATGCTGTTGATCTTGAGCTCCGATTTCAATTCGTGACCAGATTTCCATTAGAACGTAAGCAAAAGCGATGATATTCATGAAGATATAAATGAATAACTAAATAGTTTGCTTCTTTCTCGACTGTACGGGACAAGGTCCAAATTGCTATTCCGAGCAAACCAGGGGATCGCAAATGTGTTGTTTAATTATTTAAATGGAAAAGTATGCAGGATCACAGTTTGGTGAAACACCTGTTTTTCTAGTAATCAGGCAGACTCTTAAAATATCTAGTATCAATCACAAGTACGTTGGTTCGTAATTCGCAAAAAATATTGCATTTAGCAATTTCATGTCATTGATATATTGGCAAATAGTCGGATTGCGGTGAAATCTAATTTTGTAACGAAATAACAGGTAACTAATTGGCGGCCGAACCACTGTAGTCGAGAGAAGCTTGAGCTAGTGATTGTTGTTTCATTATGTAGAGTAACAAATACACCAGCGTTGTTTGTATGGAATTAAGACGACAAGCAATCTGCTGTATAAGCAAATCACTTCGTAGTAGTTGAACGAGTCTCGGTGGAAGGGACAAGTTGGATAAATAGAATAGTGAACAGGTTAAATGATTTGTAAGCGAAGAAGGCAGTTCTGGTTATATCAGTTTTAATACCTCTGAAGTATTGTGGAGACATTATGCTACAAGTTATAGTGCTGTATTCCGCAGCATACAATGAGTAAACATAGGTATGGGAGGCATGCATGTTAGCTAATTATATCATTTGAGGTGGTTATTCACTAGAATTGATCAAGCCTGTATTCCAATTGCTCGTCGGTGGGCCTGCCAATATTTTGTGATCCGTAACGCAGGTGATACCCAAACACTGGTTTAATTAGGCTTCAAACTATGTACGTAGCACATACATGCTTAGTAGTTGCTTGATGCGCGTGTATGCCTACATGTTACAGAGTCACCAATAGCAACTATGGCCCTTTGTAGAACAATTGAAAAAGCGCGGTTTAACAGTCATCGGGTACAGGAGAATGAGTACTCGGTTGGTCTTCCTCATAGGCTTCCATGTGCAAATGAAGGCCTTGAGATAGTCACGACCGGCTTATCGAGAGGATATAACAGGGGTCCAAGGAGTGAAAAGGAGGACTCTGTTTACTTTCCATCGTTGACTTAGATGTGCACATATAAATCTCCTGGTCGATGTGGCCTAGTAATGAAAGAAGTTAACATTGGTAAGAAGAATGAAGATGAGGACTCGGGTTAGCACCCACTTCAGGCACCGTATGAATATGGACATCTTGACTTTGATAAACTCGGTTGAAGGATGAATGTGAGGTATTTTGGAAAGATTGACATTAAATTTCGGCCTGCTCTCTTTTTTGTTTTCTGTAGTAACAGCAAACCTTTTTACTGTACGACCGAGAAGTATCAGGGAAGTGACATTCGATTTGATTCATTCAGATAAAACTGTTTCCGGGATATTTAGTTTTAATTATTGCATAGCTTTTGGAAGTTTGAGTAATATATCGATATGTACATGGGACATGTGAGGTGACATACATGATCTAATGGACAGTGGGAGACGATTCCAAATCAAGGCATATTTAAGAAGGAAATAGTTTGCACGCATATTGAAATGCGCGAATTTACAATCACATGTATGCATCTTTTATTCCGGAAAAGTTAACTTTTATGGTATTTTAGAGTAAGAGAGTAGCCGGCTGTACGAATGCGCCCATGAATTACACCGAAAAG